AGAAAGAGAGAGAGAGAGGGAGTGAGAGAGAGAGACAGATAGAGACAGAGAGAGAGAGAAAGAGAGACAGAGAGAGACAGAGCGAAAGAAAGAGAGAGAGAGAGAGAGAGTGACAGAGAAAGAGAGAGAGACAGAGAGACACACAGAGACAGAGAGAGAGCGCGAAAGAGAAAAATAGAGAGAAACAGAGAGACAAAGAGTGAGAGAGAGACACACAGAGAGACAGAGAGAGAGGACTCAGGACAACCTCACCCCCACTATCAAAGCCATATGGCCGGGGGGCTGATGTAATTGTGACGTCCACTAGAGGGCAGGGTACAATTTCACGACACAGCTGCAGCAAGCTCAGTTTACAACAAATGTACAATAGACAGTACTACGTATATACGTGTGGGGTGCCTGGAGAAAGGCCCCAGCTGTCGGCAAAGCTATTTTTGAGCAACGGGGCGGGTGAAAAGGTCAAAAAAGTAGTACTGGGTCAAAAATTATAGACCCATCCAAAAACACACATTTAACCATTTCTCAATAACCTATTGAAAGGATTTAATAATATTTTAAATCTAAATATTTTTTAATTAATTATTTTTGCAAAATGCTGTACTTCTCCAAAGGTCAAAAATGCCCTTATTTCAACATCCAAAATTTCTGTCAACTGGAACCTTCCTCCAGTCACACACACACATATTTCGTGGATACATTAATGTTTTATCTAGGAAACAATAAATAACAACAAATGATAGTAACAGAGCTTTGAACCCTACTGAAGTTTGTTACTTTGCATTAAGAAAAGCACATCTACACAATAACAATCGATAAGTGATGGGGAAAAAAAATTAGCGATGGGAAAAAATAGGACGGAAAGACAGAGGGAGGAAAACAAAGTAGGATCTATCAAATGGTTTTTGTTTTAGTAAGTGTTTTACGGCACTTGCAACACAATAAGGTCATAAAAGTGCCGAATATTAGACGCGTTTCAAGAGAGTAACAAACACAAAAAAGAAGGAGGGGAGATAAAGATGATAGGTGTTTGATAGGAAAGAAGAAGCAAGCCACACCAGAGCACCCGCCAACCACCAACACTATTAAACTGGAATCCTCCAACCTCCTGTACACCTTCTGAGGGACCCCAGTCAATGACAAAGAAAGACAAGCACAAAGACAAGAGGGAAAAATCAAATATGCTTTTTTTTATTGTCAACATTTTACATCCATATCAACAAAAATTTCGATTATTTAGAAGGATGGCAGCTTCCATCCTGACTTTCAGTGCCAACACGGGGTTGATTTAGAATAACCATTGCAAGAGAAAGAAGTCAGATACCCTTAAAAAAAACTATTTCCCCACATGAGAATCGAACATGCGTCTTCTGCAATCGATGGTAAAGAGTCGAACTCTGACACCACGGATGCCAGTAAGACAGACAATGACAAAGTAAGACAAGTGCAAACTACAGCGGGGAAATACACTGTACCATCAATAAATATCCTTGTGAGAGTGTAGTTTTTTTGGGGGGGTGGTTTTCTCAGAGACTCATATGAGAGCAAGGTATTGCAGGACATTGAAATATAACAAAACTACGCAGAAAAGCGTGAAGCTAGCACACACACATGCGCGTACACACTTGTGTATATCGACTTCTTAGTGTAAGACTCCAACATACATCATTTGGAAAAAAGACACACACACACACACACACACACACACACACACACACACACATACACACACACATACACACACACACACACACACACAGGCACTCAATCACATACAAATATACCTATGTGATACACATGAGTAAATACAGACATACAAACACATACACTAGTGCACATCCATTTTCAATATGTACACAGATAAACAAACACAAGCAAACAGACAAAGATACACCCACACCCACACAACACAGGTAGACTAGTTCATAGATATGTGGGAAACAGTCCCATCACCCATCAGTTAAAAAAGACCAGCTGTCAATATCCTGTTACTTACTGGACAAATCAAATACGAGTCCAACTATCGATTTCTCACTAACGACCAACTCCTCAACTGTAGCACCTGGCTTAATGTATTTGAGAGTCTGAGTAAAGAGAAGCACGTCGACACAATAACATCAGTCATTTTATGCAGCAAAAATAATAAAAGACAGAGAGACAGAAATAACAAAAGTGAAGAAAAGAAGGGAGGCAGTACCAGAAGCACCTTCCAACTACCCGTTTTCAGGTTTTGCAATTCGTTACACACTAAAAAGAGACAAAAGCATAATGCATAATTTTTTTAAAACAATTTTAAAAACACAAACAAACAGTTCAATAGTTAAATAAATCCAACATCTCATACAGACACAAGAAAAATATCTACCAAAAAAAATAAATTCTAATTTCATTAACCAGAGATAGCCGTCAACAAATTCACTGAACCATGACATAATTCCCGAAGTAACATTCCTTTGTACCGTTGAAATAATCAAACAAATCAATTAGCCCATATGTTGCATTGACATAAGCTGTTACAGGACTACTATGTACACATTCTGAGAGGATCAATGGTAAATCCATCAATATTTCATTGTTATTTCATTGTCTTATGGTGAGACCACAAAACTAACTACTGAATTAGGCGAGACATCATTAGTATAGTATAGTATAAGGTTTTACGGCGCTCGCAACTGCTAAGGTCATATGAGCGCAGACATCATTTCATTTCAGCTAACCAGATGTTGTGCTCAATTCAGATAAAAAATGAGATCTGCATTTGAAGCTCAAGACAGATATATATATATGACAAAAGTCATTTCCTTTGACAACTCAGTAATGTTCATTTAAGTATATACTTATTCTTCCCAAAGCCTTTTCAAAAATCAAACATGCAGTTGAAAGAACTAAATATTACATGAATAAAACAACCGGTACATGTACTATCAAGCAATAAATATCTTCCATATCTTAGCATTTGCCTCATCTTGTTCAATAATATCGTGGACTGTGACAAAATCAGTCGGTCTCTCTTTTCTTCTTCTACTCCCCCCCCCACCTTCTCTCTATCAGTATCACTCTCTTTTTCTTCTTACTCTCTCTCTCTCTCTTTCTCTCTCTCTCTCTCTTTTCATTTTTTCATCATGTCCAACAAGCAGGACTCAAACTAAAAACCACATCTCTGGACACATCACTGTCATAGAATTCAGGGGCATTATTCAAACCCCTTCCGTAAAAGGCAGTTATGCAAACAAACCAGTAATCAAAATGGTCTGTTCTTAAGCCTCTGATGAGGGGTATTTATATTATTTTTTAGCCTTTGTAACGTGACAAGGCTTTATTTAAAAATGTAATTCTTAATCACACTTAATTAGACTTGAAACAAGAATAGCGCGACAATTGCAGCATTCTATAAATTTTTTCTGGCCGACTTTCTTGGCCGGCTGTTAAAATAAATAGAGCACAGAGGATGAGAGAGTGCCGTCTCACTTCTCTGTTCCACTACCTTGGCTATTCTTTCAATCCCGGTTCCTCCCCCATCCCCCCCCCC